CGCAAGTTTTTGTGTAGACCTATTTTCATGTCTCTTGGGGGCAGACCTTGGAATGGAATTTCTTGGTCCAATTATAACTCTATATTTATCATTTTAAGGAACTGCCCAACTGTTTTCCGAATTAATTGTACCAAGTTACATTTCTACCAACAATGTATATAAACTTGGCATTAAGTATAGACAGTTTTTAAAGAACCCTAACACTGTTTCAAATAGAACATAGTAGGTATTAAGTAAATATTTGTTGAATGGAAAATGGGTATTCTGTGAGTAAGGTGAGGCTAAATGTAGGAAGTTAGAGATGAGGTTGGAGATGGGTGAGTTCCTGAAAGTAACTTTCTCTCCAGAACTAGCTGACCAGGCCCGTCTGAGCACTGTGTTCTTCTCAAATAGGATCAACCAGTCCCTTCTGAGCCTGAGATTGACCTGGAGGCTCTCATGGAACTATCCACAGAGGAGCAGAAGACTCAGTTGGAGGTAGGATGAGACTGGGCCCAGAGGTTGGGGGCCAAAAGCTGGTTTGAGACCAAGGTGGACCCAGGAACCCTGAGTCTGCTTCCTTGGGTTGAGTGGGGAGAACAACTTCAGAGGGGAGAATTATTATTGGGAGATTGAGTGGGACTCACAGGAATGTACTTTGGCTCATGGATTCACTCTCTGCTCTCTTCTACTCAGGCCATTCTCCAAAACTGCCCCCGCCCCACAGAGGTATGGGATATTCTGCTGGTCTAGGGGCAAGAGGAGGATGGGGGTGAAGGGTGGTTGTGGGGAGGTCACTAATGAAGAGGAATGTTTGAAAGGAAAACTTGGTCCTGCATCCTTCTTTCCTTCCCTGGCTAAGGGAAGCTAGGATCACAGTCAGGGAGAGACTGGGGAGGGCAGTGTGGTGCGTGGGTGTGATTTCATGCCTTAATCTTACTCTTCTTTCTCCTTCAGCCTTTTATCTCTGAGCTTCTCAGTCAACTCAAGAAACTCCGAAGACTCAGCCGGCCTCAGAAATAAACCTGGAGAGATTACCTTAGCAGCCTCAGTACCCTGGACCCTGGCTGAAAGGAATATAGTTCCTTGAGACACAGACAAGGAATATAAAGGACAGGGAGGGACATTGGTACACCCTAGGTTATGTGCATATCGCAGCTAGGCTGTCTGGGAGCCACTCATTGCTGTTGTCCAGTGCTTTCCATGTCAGCCAAGTGGATAAAATCTTTAGCAGCCCCAGCTAAATGGAGTGTGGAGCATATTTGTGCAGAGGGACCAGGGGAAGGAAAGGGTGAAGTGATTAATTCAAAGACCAATATCCTAAGTCATTAGGCTGTACCTACATACCTGATCCATCCATCCATCCTCCAAATGGGTCTTAAAAACTCAAAGAAAGTCAACAGCTTTGCTTTGGTGAAATCACAATCTAATAAAGCCTGGAGGCCAAGCTGAGGACAGATGGCTAAGACACATAGTGTCCTGGCATTACACGGGAGCTCAAATGTCAAAGATTAATTTTGAATCTAGAGAGGAGGTAACAGGAAAACTTAGCTGGATCTGGGGGTATCAGAGAAAGCTCACCCCTCGTCTACTCACAGCTGATGGGGGAGGCTTTAGGTGAGGGTCTTTTCTTGAGTTGATTCTAGTTGGGGGCAGGAAGAGAAAAAGTAGAGGCTATGCAGAACATAAAGAACATAGGTTGAGAGGCCAGGGGCAACTCAGGAGACGTCATTAGAAAACAGATACTGGGTCTGAATGGCAGGCAGGTTGGGACAGGAG